TTTGCTCGGCAATAACGAGAAATACCATTATGTGAAGACAAATACCGAGTAATACAGAGCAACACCGAGCAATACCGAGTTTTTTCTAAAAAAAACTCGGTATTACTCGGTATTGATCTTCACATAGCGGTATTTTTCGTTATTGCCAAATAATACATAGCAATACCGAGCAAATACCTGATAACTCATGGTGACCGAACGTAGTTCTACGTCCGATCACCGGACATAATAATTGTTCCTATGAAAGAGACGTAGCTCAATGTGATTGTTTCCCTATATAATTTTGTATTTTCTATGATGTACAACAGAAGTTTACAATGTTTCAGATTGCCCCAAGTGGGGAGAATAGTGGGATCTTACCAGCTATGGCCCAATAAACCCACCATGCATTTATGCCCATTATCAGTTTGTGTGGTGGCTATTTAACCCCAAAAATTTTGGGTAGTGTTTGATAGCGAGTGTCAATAAATGATTCGATTTATCTATTTTATCTTAGTTTGATTTGAAATATTCATGTTCAGGTTGATCGGATTAATAAATGAGTCGAGTCTAGGTTTTTTGACTTATTTAGTAAATGGGTTGTATTCGGGTAGACCTATGAATCTTCCTTTGACTAGAAAATACCACATTTAATGACTTTTTTCTTAGTTTTTTTTTTAAACTTGTTTGTTATCAAATATACTAAATTTTATAGTTGAGAAGTTATTAAAAAAATTTAACCAACTTGGATGAAAGGGTCAGGCTTTAGTCGTTCGAGTTGCGTTTGGGTTGATATTTTCGACTTATTTATTAAACGGCCATATTCGGGTTAATTGGATTTGAGTCGGGTCTATTTTGAGTTGAACTTGAACCCAACCCATTAACCTATTTTAACACCCTTGTGTGTGGATAAAATTTTAAGGAAAAAATGCCTTAGTAAAATTTTTCTTATATAAGACTCATAATTATTGACTTTGGTGCTCATAGCATATATCATAAATTAGAGTCCAACTTTAATCTTGGTGCTGATGCAATATATTAGAGTTGGTGTTGATAGCATATATCAATCATATGAGCTAAGATATGCATTGACGCTATTGGAGATGACAAGTAACAAAATTAGTGGTTGTTGTTGAGGTATAAGAACCGTAGTTGCCCAAAACTTGTTGTAGGACTGTACTGGACAACAATAGTCAGATAAAGGTAGTTGGGTGATATCGCTCAGCAAATCGTAGTCAAAAGATGGTGTTCTAACAACAATAATCAAGTTGTCGTTTGATCGAAACGGTCAGACTGATCTAATAACAATGGTCTAGCAATGGTGTTCAGGTGGAGCTTTTAGATTTATTTAAGCCTCTGAGCTTTCTTGAATATAGCATTAAGGCCCTAGTCATCCATGTAAAAAGCGAACACCTATTTATAGATTTTATTAGAATAACATGCCTCATAAATATAGCTAAAATTGAGAACACTCCATTTGAGGATGCGTATTAATTCTTTCAATCATAGATTTCTCTTTAAGCGTTTAAGTGTTCTAATGCTTTTAGAATTAAACAAAATTTGTCTTTTTAGATCCATCTCGTCGAGATGCTCGATTTGACTATAAGCATGTGAAGTTCAGAGATTGTTTGGTCCCCCAATTAGTTGCCAAAGTTTTATATTATACTTCAAATGCTTGATTTGAGTTCATTTGAACACAGATTAAACCACTTTTTTGTGCCATTGAGTTCGCCTCATCAAGATGTTCAGTTCAACTTTGAGTTAATTGAAATCATGTTCATGTGGCCTATCGTGATTTGAGAAGTATTTAAATTTATAGGGATTTGTGCACATCATGTAGGATTTTTTTTTGTGCATCAAAGATAATAATATAAAAAATGTACATATAATGTATATCTGAAATTCTGTGAAAATAATTGCTATAATTTAACATTGGCCTTAAAAAATTTAGATGAAAATCATCTCGAATGAGAGATAGGGATGTCAATATTTGACACAACCTGAAAATGCAACCCAAAATTTCTAGATTTGGGTCAACCCTAAAACCCAAAATCAATCTGCCAACCCATGCACATCCTCCATCTCACACATCGCACTCGTGCTCGCCCGCCTCGCGACTCGATGCTCATCATGCTTGAAGTTACTCGCATGCGTTCACCCGCACGCTACACTCGCTCGCCTGCACCCACTTGTATGTGCCTGCTCGCCCGAATGAGCACCCTCATGGCTTGCCTGCTGGCTTCGTCCGGTCGTCGCACTCGCGGTCACCTTCGCTTGGGTTAGTGGGTTGTGTGGGTCAGATAGAGTTTTGTGTCCCATTTCTCTAATTAGATTGAGTTCGAGTCAAGATAATTGATGATTGGCCAACCCAGACTCAAAAATTCATTTTGACACTCCCAAATGATAGCCGCCCAACGGGCTGAAATAATCAATTACAACGGTGCTCCTTTCACTTTCAGATTCCCTCACAAGTTCGATCAAGTTTCGCTTCTCTTAACATCTTTTCTTTATCTACCGGGATTAAATTACATGCTTTTGATAGAGGATATGAAACTCACAGAATGTATTTTAATCATATTTTTTGTTTAGCGCTTGTTCTGAGGAATCCAAACAATTTTTTTTAAGGAAAAAATCATAACTCTTCTTATCCACGTCGATCCAAGTAAGAGCTTGGAATTCAAAACTCCATTATTTATAAGAACAGAGTACAGAAAACCAGTAAGAAGAACAAGCAGATCAGTCCTCCAAATCGAAATCGAGATCGATCGGATTTGAAGTCAAAACATCAAATCAGGTGTCCGCGTGATGGTGGTGAAGTAGAAGTTCACGAGCAATAGCCTTCTCGAGCCAAGCCTCAGCGTCGTCCATCATGCCAGGACTAAGCCGAACCATCAGTATGCAGAACTCAGCCTCGTTGAGAACTCCATCACCGTTGAGATCGCCCTCCCGTACCATCGCCTCCGCCTCCTCCGCCGTCATCCCCGCCATCCCAAGCATGGCCGCATGCCGCCTCAAGCTTTCCGCCGTGATCGCCCCCCGATCCGCATCGGCCAGAAGCCGGAACCCCCCGCACAGCTCGGAGACGAAGTCATCCGCCTCCAGCTTCTCCGCCATCGCCGGAAGCAGGTCCTCGTACTCTTCCTTCTCCTCTTCCTTTCCCTCCGCCGCCCTTCGTAACGGCATCTTCGTCTCCTCCGTGGCCATCGTAACTCGCTCTCCCGATAAGCTCCGGTATGTCCGGGCTCTCTTTAGTGGTGTCGGTCGATTGATATCGATGCACGCAAGATGCTTGATGAAATGCATGGCCCTACTTATAATTTAATAATTGCTACAACTTCGAAAATGGATTGCGGCCAGACGCAACGACCGAGAGAGACGTCGCGAATCCTTGATGGGATTTCGCCGAAGTTTCGTTCGGTTGAGTCTGGTCACCGCCCGTGCGATTCTTTCCAGGCTGCACCCATATGATTTTGTATTTTGTATTTTCTATAGGTAGAAAATGTATTTGAAAATATTCCTCATGTCAAAAAAAAAAATTGTATAAATTTACTATTTAAAGGTTAAAATTGTATGCTAAGATTAATATAATCCTATGATATTATTTATAGCACTAATTTTAATTCGAATTTAAAAATTTTATCAAGGAAAAATGAACTGTACGTGATTGACACTAAAATTTTGGTAAGATGGTC